GGGACACATATGGCTGGTGTCCTCAATAAGATAAGTCTTATAAAATATATAGATTAATAATTATGGTTGATATTAAGACTGAGCTAGCAGATAAGAAATACAAGTCATTGGCCAGCAGCATTGTACCTAATATTAATATCTCTGTGTTATTTCGGGCACCCATGTGGCAGCGGGGCTTGGGCGGCTTGTCTGAAAGACTTATCATTACAGGGTCTCACTATATAATCCTGTTTGACTTGAAAGTTGAAATGTAGACTCCTACCTGAGTCTCCCAAGTGCTGAGGTTACAGGTATCACTATGCCTGGCAAAAGCCAATTATTATTATTATTATTATTATTATTATTATTATTATTATTATTATGTTGAGCCAGATATGCTATATGCCTGTAATCCCAGAACTTTGGGAGATGGAGGCAGAAGAATTAGGCAATTCATAGGTATCCTTGGCTACATAGTAACTTCAAAGTTCAATCCTTGCCCCCAAATACCTCTTTTTAGGGGCTGGAGAAATGGTTTGATTGATCAAGTTCTTGTCATACAGGCATGAGGACATGGGTTCAGATACCTAGCACTACTGTAAAAATGCTGGGCACAGTGTCATGTGCCTGCACTTGCATTTACTGTAGTCACAATACTGGCCTCTTCTCTTGCTGCTCAGGTGAATGAATGGCAGGATGACTGGCCAACCTTTTTCACTCAACACCGGCTCCAGGCACAGCTGAACCTCATTGAAAAGGACTATGCTGACCGAGAGACACAAGAACTATGGTCAAGACTACAGGTGGGCATACACTTCCCTCAAAAGAGGCTGTCTCTCATGAGCCTACCACATGGATGTAGGGTCTCTTCAGACTGAGTCAGAGTAGGGAACGCTGATGGTAGAGCAGGATGGCCAAGTTGTAGCTACCACTTCCTTACCCTGTAGGTGGGTGGAGGGAAGGGACAGACCCTGGGTGGAGGGAAGGGACAGACCCCTGGGTGGAGGGAAGGGACAGACCCCTGGGTGGAGGGAAGGGACAGACCCTGGGTGGAGGGAAGGGACAGGCCCCTGGGTGGAGGGAAGGGACAGGCCCCTGGGTGGAGGGAAGGGACAGGCCCCTGGGTGGAGGGAAGGGACAGGCCCCTGGGTGGAGGGAAGGGACAGGCCCCTGGGTGGAGGGAAGGGACAGGCCCCTGGGTGGAGGGAAGGGACAGGCCCCTGGGTGGAGGGAAGGGACAGGCCCCTGGGTGGAGGGAAGGGACAGGCCCCTGGGTGGAGGGAAGGGACAGGCCCCTGGGTGGAGGGAAGGGACAGGCCCCTGGGTGGAGGGAAGGGACAGGCCCCTGGGTGGAGGGAAGGGACAGGCCCCTGGGTGGAGGGAAGGGACAGCCCCCTGGGTGGAGGGAAGGGACAGACCCCTGGGTGGAGGGAAGGGACAGACCCCTGGGTGGAGGGAAGGGACAGACCCCTGGGTGGAGGGAAGGGACAGACCCCTGGGTGGAGGGAAGGGACAGACCCCTGGG